TGCATAAAGCAAGTAGTGCATACACTTGTAGCTGTTATGTATCTTTGTAAGTCATTCTTTTGAGGCACGCGCAAGCACACGAATCGACCCCCCCCACCCCCGTTATAAAAAAAAAAACAAGTGGGCTCCCCCAAAGTCCACGGTATAGTTCGAACACTGAGCACACCCAAGACTGAAAATCATCTACCAAACAAAGTTTCTTAAAGGGACAGGAGATCCAAAAATGACAATTCTGTCATTCACTCATCCTCATGTTTTCCAAACCTGTATGCATTTCATTCAAACTTAAAGTCTCAGTGTTTTTTTTAATCCATACAATGAAAGTCAAATGTTCTTTGGACCCCAGCACTCTTTAACATAACAAATTTTTTGTGCCCCACAGATTAAAAAAAAAAAAGGTTTGGAATGACATGAAGTTGAGATATCTTTGTCTTGTCAGTGTTGTTGTTTGATTAATGTATTTTGTTGTTGACGTCAAAAGCAGTGCATCCAATTAAATGCAATGGGATTTAGATGCTAAATCATCTGACACTTTGTAGAAGATCGTCAAATTAGATAAAACATGCACAGGTCGTGTGATATGAACATTTACATTTGGAGCGGTGTTGATCAGGGTTATTATCGTCAACTAAAATTAGAATTAAAACCATAAAATGCATTTTTGTTAATTGACACGAAATAAAGATGAACTGAAATAAAATATAAAAATTCTATTTTATTTTTACCTAGTGTCGTTTCTCATTTTAAAAATAATTTCAGTATGACAATAAATATAGTTATTAAAAATAGAATGTAGTAAATAATTAAATAATAAAAATAATATTAATTAAAAAAACTATATGGACATTGAAAAAGACAAAAACTAATAAAATGACAAACTTTTAAATTTTAACTAAAATAAAGTGGAAACATGAAATATAAAAATAAAATCTAATTTAAAATATTAACAAAAACTATAATAATATGTCATTGAGAATAAAATAACACAGGTGTTGTACAGTAAACTCCTGAAACACAATCAGCTCTTCAGACGCTCGTACTCGATAATTGATGCTTAAATGCATCAATCTGTCCGGTTTACACAATGTAAACTATCCTTTAATCTGAGTTTAGTGAATGAAAGCAGTCTTAGACTCTCTGAAGTGTGTGTGTGTGTTTGACTCACATTTCCAGCTGCTAATATTTGGTTGTGTCTCCGCCAAACTCCCACAGCTGACCTGATGATGATGATGGCTCCTCTAAACTATTCATCATATAGAGCGGGGTTACAGGGGCCCCTGAGCGGCCTCAAGGGACACAGAGAATAAATGCTGAGAGCCTATGATCTGCACTGTAAAAAAGGAATCGTTGAGAGAACAAAAAAAAATAATAATAATTTGATGCATTTAGATATTTAGGTTCTCTCAACTGCTGTCATAAAGGGATAGTTCACCCAAAAATGAAAATTACCCCATAATTGACTCACCCTCAATCCATCCTAGGTGTGTATGACTTTCTTCTTTCAGACGAATACAATCGGAGTTATATTAAAAAATGTCCTGGCTCTTCCAAGCTTTATAATGGCAGTGAATGGGTGTTGAGATTCAGTAGTCCAATAGAAGTCTAATAAACTGCACCAATCCGTCCCACACAGCTCTGGGGGGTGAATAAAGGCCTCCTGAAGCGAATCGATGCGTTTCTGTAAGAAAAATATCCATATTTAAAACTTATTTAAAATATGCATATTTAAAACTTTATTAACCGTAAGTAATTGCAATTTTTTTCCTCTCAATTGCATGTTTATATCTCACAATTCTGACTTTTTTCATGCAATTCTGAGTTTATATCTTGCCATTTTGACTTTTTTTTTCTCAAAATTTTGAGTTTATATCTGGCAATTTTTACTTTTTTTTTTTTTTTTAGAATTCTGTTTATATCTTGCAGTTCTGACTTTTTCCCTCTGAATTCTGGGTTTATATCTCGCAATTCTGACTTTTTTCTTGCAATTTTGAGTTTTCAAATTCAGACGCTCGTACTCGATAATTGATGCTTAAATGCATCAATCTGTCCGGTTTACACAATGTAAACTATCCTTTAATCTGAGTTTAGTGAATGAAAGCAGTCTTCGACTCTCTGAAGTGTGTGTGTGTGTGTGTGTGTGTGTGTGTTTGACTCACATTTCCAGCTGCTAATATTTGGTTGTGTCTCCGCCAAACTCCCACAGCTGGACCTGATGATGATGATGGCTCCTCTAAACTATTCATCATATAGAGCGGGGTTACAGGGGCCCCTGAGCGGCCTCAAGGGACACAGAGAATAAATGCTGAGAGCCCATGATCTGCACTGTAAAAAAGGAATCGTTGAGAGAACAAAAAATAATAATAATAATTTGATGCATTTAGATATTTAGGTTCTCTCAACTGCTGTCATAAAGGGATAGTTCACCCAAAAATGAAAATTACCCCATAATTGACTCACCCTCAATCCATCCTAGGTGTGTATGACTTTCTTCTTTCAGACGAATACAATCGGAGTTATATTAAAAAATGTCCTGGCTCTTCCAAGCTTTATAATGGCAGTG